GGAATCGGGAGGGTTGCGGAAGTGAGAGAGAGCAAGGCAGAGATGGAGCAAGGGCCTAAGACTGTTTTTCCCCATCCAGGGTTATAGCTGCTCCAGGACCGTAGCCAAGAGACCTTGCATTTCCGTATTATTCTTATCCTCTTTTTTTTTTTTTTAAACAGAGAGACAGACAGAGACAGACAGACAGGCAGAGCCGCAGTGCACACGGTGCGTGTGTCGGAGAGGCCGCCGGGAGACTCACCGCAGCAATGCTACGTGAATGCAGAGGGCTGGAGGTGGTGTGACTACTCACTTGCTCGGCTAACAGCTGCCGGTTTTGGATGGAATTATTCCGCAACAACAAGAAAGCGTCGGTTAAACGCCTGGTGGCCATGTCTCACCCTTTGTGACCCCCCTCTCAGGGGCCCCCCGCCCACTTATAGTCCTGATTTGTTCACTTTCTCTCTCTCGACCTGGCCTAGTCAGCCCACCCTTCACCAGCAGCTTCTCTTGACAAGGCCTCCGACCTCAAATCAAACAGGCGCAGCTTTGCGCTTAGCCAAAGCGCAAAGACCCCTCCCCAAATAACCACCTAGGCTTTCCAATTGTCTGACTCCCCCTACCCAAGTCCTGCCTTCGATCTCTAAGCACTTAAATCCCCCCAATCCTTGCGTAGCTAACCAATGTCCCAGAGACCCCTCCCCAATCCAACCTTGGATCTACAAGCGTCTAACTCGCCAATCCAGCTTTGGACTGGGAGGCTCTGAAGCCCCCTACCCCCCTTAGTCTCGGAGACCCTCAAGGGCCTTGGCCCCCTACCCCTAACTTGGCTCACACGCGTCTGGGCCCAGCCCTAAGGCCTGACTCTGACTCGGTTTCCCCACTAGAGGCCTGGTCTAGGCCCCCTTTGGACAACTCCAGCCACGCCTGGGCCCTGAACTCGAGGGTGCCTGGTGCTCCCTTCTCGGGCCTTATCTGAGCCTGCTGCAGCCCAGGCCCGACCTCCTGACCCCTTCCCTTTCTGGGTGGCCTGGTCCTCCACTGTCACAGCAGGCTGCAGCCTCCAGGAGGGCAGCAGAGCCTGCTTTCTCGGCCTCCTCACGCCTCTTCTCCGGCTCCCTCCATCCCCGGATCTGACTGCAGCTCAGCCCCGGGCCGTTTCCGTACTGCGGTCCCGGGTTCTGGCGTCCCCCCTGGCCCTCTTCCTGTCCGTCTCTCGCGAGTGCCCCCCTGCGACGTTCGCAAGCCTTGCTCGCAACGTTCCGGGCGCGGGAGCATTCTGCCCTTCTGCCCCGGGGCGCGGGAGCGCTCCGCCCCCTCCTGGGGTGCTCCCGGGGCGCCCAGTTTCCACTTTCCCAACTGGGCCTAGGCACGAGGAACGGGCGAGTGGTCAGGCCTGAGCCTTGGGAGCGTGGCCCCCAAGCTGCAAACCGCTGCCAGGGGCCTGGGTGCGCACATTAGAGTGGAGTTGCGCGGCAGGCAAATTTGGGCTCCAGCAGAGCCGAAGTTTGAGGCGCGAGCGGAGTTGGGGCGGGAGAGGAAAAGTTGGAGACGACTGCCTCTGGAGGCCGAGCACGCTCCACTGCAGGCAGCGGCTCGCGCTCGCTTTTTTTCAATTCTAAAAAAAGATGTATCTGAAAAACAACAAGGGAAAAAAAAAAAAAAGCAACAGCTAGCTAGAGCTTAGCTGGAGCTCCAGGCCGCCAGGGCAGCGCCGCAGCCAGCAGTCGGGGGTCGTGGGGGGCGCCCGCCCTCCCTGGCCGCCGCTTTCTGTAGGGGGCACTGCAGGGTTGTGGAATCTCAAGTGGAAAAGTTCCCAGAAACTTCGACAGCCCCCGCACCCCCACCCCCACCAACTTTTTCCTGCCAGCTGGGCCCGCGCACAGGCGTGCTGGGCCTGGCCGGGTGCCCCACGCTTTCCCGCGGTTGGGCGAGGCCGGGGGGCGGCAGGCGACCCCCACTCGCAGCCAGGGGCCGGAGTCGACGGGATTTGGGCAGGGGCTCCGCGCGTCCGCGTTGGACTCGAGCCGCCCGAGTCTGAGCGCGGCGAGCAGGGGCCGGGGGCCGGGGGCCGGGGGCTGCCCAGCGAGGGAGGCCCGAGCCCCGCCGGGCCCGCAGCCCGGGGGCGGTTCTAGGCTGGACGGATCGGGGTCGCAGAACCGGGCGGCTGCGCCTCCGCGGGCCCAGGGACCCAGGCAGGGCCGACTTCCCCTACCCGGGCGAACCGAGGCCACCTTGGGGCCGCAGGGCAGGGCTTGGGAGTGAGACCTTAACAGAGGAAAATCGCCCCGAAATCCAGGAGCGGGCCCTCGTCCCTGCTTCTGTTCCTGCATGGCACAAACTTGACACACACGTGTGTCTTTCCGAGCATTGTGCTAAGAGCTGGGCTTGCAAAGAGGAGCAACCCTGAGCCCGCGTCGGCGCCCAGCCAGCTGCCTGGCCGGGTGCTGGCGGGGTCCCGAACCGGCTCGGCCGAATCGCTGGTGACCCGGGACACACACACACACACACACACACACACACACACACACACACACACACACACACACACTGAAGGAAAATGTTTCTATGCGTCGGTTGTGTAACTAAAAATTAATGTTAAAAACATGCTTGGGAAATAGATAAAAATGTGTAAAATAAAAGAATCATTGAAGCGGGAGAGCCAGAGAGCCGAGCTGGCGCGTACATTTGAGGAAGGGGCTGTGGCTTCCAGAGCCCGGGCGATGGGAGACGGGAGGGCGCTCGCTCGCACGTTGCGGGGCCTGGACCCTGCCCGGGCAGTAAGTAGAAAACCTCGCAGCGCGTCTCGCCGCCGCGTGTAGCCGCAGACAGCGAGCAGCCTGCTTTCACGAGCTGGAGGCTGCGGCGGGATGAAGACGCCGCTCTGAAGGCAGAGACCCTGAGTTATCTCATGGAGGGAAATTCGGGGAGCCCGTGTGTGGATCCCCCGGCTTAGCTCAGCACCCCGGGAAACATTTGCACGTTTGCCGAATGAGAGAGAGCTCTGTCCCCACACCGTGTCTGATCCCCCCCAGTGACAGCTAAGACCCCCTACTCCCCCCTTCGGAGGACAGATGTAAATAGCAACTGAGCCGGTCTTCGGAAGAACATCAGATTAGCTGAAAACGTGGTCCGCACTCTGCTCCTTTCTCTTGAGCACACTCATCACCTTGCAAAGCAGAGGCTTGTTTACTTCTGGCTCTCTCCCCCAGGCTAGAACGTGATCTTCCTCCTACCGAGTTTTATTCATCTGTGCACCCACTGCCATTTCCTCTGGCTTGGAATAGGCTCCGGATAAATGTTTTTTAAATATGTGTATGAATGAATTAGAGACCCCGCGGTTTAGTCACCAAACTCTGCGGCCTCCCTCCAGTGACTTTAAGGCTTTATAGCCCTTATCTGTTAAGGAAAGAAAAAAAAATGTGGGGTTTTATTAATCCTTGTAATCCGTGCCCTGTCCACCTCTCGGGGGTTATTGTGAAGATCAAGTGAGATAAGTGAAAACCTTTGTAAACTATCAGGTGCTGAGCAAATATTATATAGGACGGCTATTCATTCATTGCCTTCCCTGGGAAAGCAATTCCTGGGCTGGTGTTTTAGCAGATGGTGGTCAGTCCGTCTTACATATTTATCATGGGGCAATCTCTTTCTTACTGTTAGGAAATCAATCAAGCTTCCATTTCTTTGAAAGAAATGAACAGTGCTTGCACACATAAATAATGGGAGAAAAATCCTCATATTCCCAAAACAGCCACCCCAAGCAAACGAAGAGCCCAAGCACAGGGAAATCATGAAGAATCCATGAGATTGGCATAGCAACCCAAAGGCAGCACTGTGCAGCTCTAAGCCGGCCTGGGATTGCGTGCGTGAAATAGTGTTCAGTGAAAGGCAGGGAGCCCGGGAGAGGACGTGCACGCTGGCAGAGATCGCTGACCCATATTGGAAGGGAGGTGAAGGGCGGGGGAGGATGTAAATCATTATATTTGAATGTTCCTTGGCTGTTTTATTTTCCTGTCAAGTGGCTTAAGCCTGATTTTTCTTTTTCTTTTTTTTTTTTTTAAGCATTCCCTCATGGCCAAGTATGTGTTTCCTTGGAATTGAAATCTAGGTTGATGGTTTTATATTTTAAAAGCTTTCATTGTGACTCATTCTTGGCCTGGGATAGAATTCTGTAATACTCCCCAAGCTCAAAGAGCCTGGGTGTCCTGTTTCTTGGGCTTCGTACCCACTTTCTAACATTTTGCTAGTGGATCCAAGAAGTCAGTGTTGGAGACAAGTGTTTCATTGTCTTCTTGTCATCTTAAATCTGTGCAGAAGGGAGCCATAAATATGAATTTCCCTGACTGTAGGGGGAAAATAGCAGGCACGGGAGAATGTTTCTAGTGTTGCTGGGTTAGCGGTTAGACAGAATGGGTCAGCAGTGCCACACTTGCCTCCTTGGGTGAGGAAGTTTAGAGGAGCTGGGGCTCGCAAAGCCCTCACTGGGGCCCGGCACATAGTAAGCGCCCCATAAATGGGCAACATGGCTCATTACCCGCAGCTGTCTTGCTGCCACAAAGCTCACGCTGGCTTCACTGTCCCTGGAAGGCATCACAGCAAACTCCAAAGAGTAAAGCATGGTGGTGGGAACTGGATACTCTCCAAGCACATTTTCCAGATTCTTGTTCTGTGGCTTGGGAATCCAGATGTGCCTACAATGTTCTCTCATATAGAAGAGGAGTTTAAACAGCCACTGAACACCTTTGAACTTTGGCCTTTCTAGCACCTATAGAAAGACAAATGGTCGTTCTTTTATCAAGATAAGCAGCAGCAAAAGCCCCCAAGCTTAATGAATGTCTCCTTTGGACACATCTGACATAATAGGCAGATTCTGGCCAGATTTAGGAACCAGGAGCTCATGTGTTCTCTCTCCCTATATAACTCCTCAAAACTTTGAGTATTTCCAACCTCAGAAAACTTCCGAGCTCTGTCTTTAGCCACGATGCCTCTCTCAAGCAGGAGACTTCACAGAGAGGCACAACAGTTTTGTATTGTCCAAACTCCATTAGGCACTTTTTTTTTTAACTAGATAATTCAATTCAGTGGGCATTTCTAAAAATCCACCAGAGGCTGTGCCCAGCTCCACGAGGCTCCACTGCTTCTGCCCAAATGCTGGTTCTCATCACCTGGTTTCTCCAATAGCCTCCTAACCAGCCACCCTCTCTTCCCCTCCACCCACCCTGTACCCTGCAGCCACAGTGACCTTTCTAGAGCACAAATCTCATCATGTCACTGCCTGATTGAGGCCCTGAAACAGCTCCCTCTGGCCCACACCAGCAACGCTCAGCAGAAAACAGGTGCTCGCTACACCAGGCCATCACTAATAGTAACTAATGATGGTCTTTTCTTGGTTGGCAGGAAAAAAATTAAGCTAATTGATGAGATAGTCTCTATTTTCAGTGTTTCTCCCCTCGCTTTTTCTTAAGCCCTTGGTCCCTGCTGCCACTTGGCTGTATAGAATATAGTATAAGACTATCAGATTTATCCCAGAACCATGCATGTCATTAACTTTTTCTTTTGCGTATCAACATGTCCTGGTGTTTTGCATATAGACGTCCTGTTCTCCCAACATGGTGGAGCGTCCACGGGGATGGAGGCCCGGCATACAGGCTCTTCACGCCAGACCCCACGCAGGCTCACGTGGTCTTCTCTGTCCAGGCCGCGGGTCTTCCCCCTTCTGCTTGATGAAGAGTTTCTTCAAGATGCAATGCTGCCTACCCTCTGGTATCATAATGTTTGTGGAATAGACAAATGGACGGCTGGTTAGATGGAAAGATGGGAGTAAATATGTTAAGTACCAGAGCATTCCAGATGGTCAAGACCCTAAATGGGTGGCACAGACAGACAGTCGGGGTGGGCCTCTCTCCCCCTCTCACTCACTGTGTCTCAGACTCTTTGGCTTTCTGACTAGTCCTCAAACCTTAGCATTTCTTGTTCCCTCCAGCCTAGGCTCTCCATTGGACTGGCTCCTTTTCATGACTTGAGTCTCAGACCACCCCATATAAAGTAGTCCCCCCACTGTGTCCATGGCACTGGGAAAAGACCGTCCTCTCCCAGAGCCCTGGGCCCATAATACTACGTGTCCATGCTCGGTCAACTTCAAGATTCCAACAATATCTAACCTCATAGCTCTTGGTCTTTGGGGCCAAG